AAATGAGGTTTTCTTGACGTTATAAAACAAACGATATACGGGCTTGGCTACTTTTTATATTGAACAGTATTGCTATCTCGAAAACCGTAAGAGTTGCAAAGTCGGTTAAATGGGAAAAAAGTTGTACTTTTGCAAGAACATCAGGACCGGTTTCCAAGATATTAAAGGAGAACCAAATGTTTTCGATTTTCGATTGTATTGCCTTTATTTTACAAATTAGAAAAAATTGTAATTAGATTTTTTATTTGGTATTAAGTAGCGCTTAATTTACCGTAGACAAATTTTTTATACAATCTTTCTTTTCTGGAGGGCCATCGTCAAATATATTTTTTTGAATAGGGATCTGCATTTTTATCCTATTTTATAAAAGTACATTTAATCATAAATTCAACAGTGTAATACACATTAGTAGTTTAGGATGTTTTGATACTTTTTATTATTGCTATTGCAAGGTCCCTATAAATTTTATTGTTTTAATATAGACCTGTATTTGTAATTATGCTTTTTTACTAAGATTACCAGCAAAACTACACTTTCGTTACATCTGCTTCTTTTATCAAAAATTTAATAGGAATCCCACCTGAGCCATACCTGTTGTGTTAAAGAGGGATGGTCCTCGAAAATCAGCTTCATTTGGTACTAATTGACGCAATGCAGAAATTTCTTCATATTTTAATAGGTTTCGATATCGTTGTCCAGGTATTTTGTGTATTAAGCGAGAAACTAATACAAAGACTCGAATTTTGGACCCAGAATATATATAAATTATAATTCGTCCTTTAATCATATAATAGATTCATTTAGAGCCACTGTGCGGCTACTGACTGCGGGATAGTAGGTAAGCCAAACTTAAAAAGAAAAACTTCTATATTAAGTTGCTTCTCATAGTCTTCGTGATCATAATAAATGCTTTTATACCGTAAACTCGGAGATAATTGATTGTTATCCTTGTCGGCCACCTATAAACGAGTAATTTTGAAGTTTAAAACGAACTGTTATTACTAATATACGTCCGGGAAAATCATAATTTATGATAGCTTTGGAGAAAACATAAAATAGAAATGTGCCATTGTATATACAAGGTGTTTTTTTTATTATTATTGCATTTTACTTTTATACGTAGGATTGAAACAAATTTGACAATCCAAAATTTGAGGAGTAAAAAATTAATTTTTTACCTTTTTTACCGCAGTTCCACGTTCACTAACAGCCAGTTTCTCAAACACCTATAACTCTTATCGTTAAGTTACCTTTATCAGGACATTAGTCAGAAAGGCCCGTTTCACAATCAATATTTACCTTTTAAAAAGAGTAAGGTTGGAATAGATAAAAATGCAAGAACAAATGCCGCACACCAATAGAAAATAAGAAATATAAAAGTGTCAATGATGATTCAAACGAGAGGTCCAATAAAATTAGACATTTAAACAAAATCGTAAATTCCAACTGTTTTGTTGAAAAAATTGTAATTAATAAAGTAATTTCATATAAAAATATTTGACTATCACTCAACTACCTTCCAGAGCCGAAATCCAACCAAAAACTGTTTCAAAACCTTATCACTTGAGGTCTCTTCGCTTTTTTATTGCTGCTGAAAGCATTTATATTGTAATCATTCATACGTTTTGGTAAAAATGAAAATAATTGTGAAATAATATGAAAAAATGCATAAAAGTAAGAATAGAAATATTTGGTTAACTTTGTTAGCTTTATTTTTAAGAGTTAGACATTTTCATGGTTAACTTGCATTTGAATCTGGAATTTATAATTGTGAAACACCTACTTCTGCATAATCCATGGTTATCTCTTAACTGCTTGGTATTTTGTAGCACTGAGCTACACCCACGGTGTATCAACTGTTACCGTCAAGGTCATAAGTGTTAAGTTTCATACCCCCGCCGTCGTGAGGTCGCCACCGTCACCGTTTATAGGACACGCTTGTGCAGCGTTGCCAATGGCAAGAATTTAACCAACCAATGAACTTTTATGAATTGATTTATAGTTTATTCATCCAAGATTATAGCGTTTTTCATTTAGTAGTATCCACTATTATTGCTGAAAAATCATGTTTTAAAATATTTTCATCTTCACTATTGCATTTATTGGTGACTTCAGGGGTTTGTGGTAATTGATGAGAATTATCACCATTTGACCATGAGAACACTGCCTACTTGATACCTACATAACCACAAACATTTCTTATTTCTTTATTATTTTTATAAATGTTGTAAGTGATTTGTTTGTTTTTGAACTGCTAAATAATAAAATGGAAATAAAGCAGAATGTCAATAGGTAAATGGAAATAATGCACAAAATTAATACCACAACATAAAGTTTATTTAATAGGCAGTGTCGCGATTAGTTTCAGCATACATTGACCAGTGACCACCATGGACGAAATATTAATGTGACCACATTACATTTGAGATAATGGATAAACTTTCAGTCATGATTGTAAAGTGAATAGTTGTGTTCCGGAATCCAGATTCCAGGTTGTTACATTAATTTATTGGTAAAATACGTCTTTTTGCTAACACAAGATAAAACTAAAAATATGAAAACACTTGAATCTTTTTTATTTTATCTTAATAATTTGCATGTACCTATTACCTATCTTATTTTTAGCAATTTTAAGTTTTAGTTAAAATAACAGCCGAAATTTACATTTTATAAATAAATCTTTATAAATACAGAGTGGCTCAAAAGTCTGGAATTATCTCATAAATTGCTAGTCCCAATTGTACAAAATTTGGGATACAGCTATTGTGGGATACGGAAATTTCAGATTTGATATTTGCAATGTTGTCAGATTTGCCGTTTTTCTTATATTATTAGTCACTTTGGTTTTTCAAATTCATCACCCTGTATATTTGATCATTATTAAAATCTCCTATTCAATACGAGTTCAACCATAATATATAACACTTATGATTTTATTTAGTCTGGAAGGTATTAAATAAATAAAACAGAAGTATGGCAACGCCTAATTTTCTCAATAAATTTTTTTATACTTACTTTTTTCAACTACACTAAAACGTAATAATTGAAAGATTACAACATTTTTAACATAATGGTTACTTTATCAAGTGTTCAAAATTTGCTCCATTTGTGAGTTGACAGTACCCTAATCGATGGTAGAATGCGTCTACCACATTTCTCCATGATTATCTAGAAATTAATTAAGATTCATCGATAATTCGTTGCCTTACCTGTGCAAGACTTGCTGGTTTAGTTTTGTAAACTGAATTTTTAAAGTATCCCCAATCAAAATAATCTTTTGGATTTAAATCAGGTGAACGTGGAGGCCATTTAATACTACCTCGTTTACCAATCCATCGTCCGGCAAATATCTCATCTAAATAACGCCGAGCATTTACACTAAAATGAGCTCTATCTTGCTGATTAAAATTGGCTCCAAACAAGTTTCTCAGTTTAGGTACAATTTCATTTCTAAGCAGCATTTCGGAACTATCTGACGTTAAATTTCCTTCACTAAAGAATGGCCCAATTAACTGAGTATCTACTATACCTGGCCATACATTTAATTTTTGTAGTCTTTGAGTATGGTTTTCACGCATCCAGTCATCTTCACTTAATTCTTGCAATAAGTGAATTTTGTGTGGTTTAAATTTATTCTTTTGTAATACACGTAAGAATGTGAATGACCTACATCATGTACTTATGCAACCCTGCGTGAGGATGTATGTGGATCTTCAACAAAACTCTGCATTATATCTAATGATTTGTTGTTATTCATAAATCTTTTCGGTCTACCTGATCGGTATCTATCTTTTTCTCCTCCAGATTCCTCAAAGCGCTTTACAGTTTTTTTGTACCATCGCCTTATGAATCGAATGGTTTGGAAAAGTATCGTTAAACAAGTTGGCTACTTCACAATAAGAACTTTTTCTGTCGCCGTACCCTCTCATCATTAGAATAGAAATTCATTCTTTTTCGTTAAGAGCCATTTTAGAGAAACAATTTACCTTGCAGAACTTTTCAAAACACATCAAACTACTGTCAGTTTTAGTTAATAATGTAAATGGTGAACAAATGTCAAAATCACAGCATTCTAGTTTTAAACATTTAAATTTCTTCAAATCTACATATTTTGAACTGTTTTATTTATTTAAGACCATCTAGACTAAATAAAATCATAAGTGTTACATATGGTTGAACTCGTATTGAATAGGAGAGTCAAATAATGACTGAATATACAGGGTGATGAATTTTAAAACACCAAAGTGACTAATATTATAAGAGAAACGGCAAATCTGGCAACATTGAAAATATCAAATCTGGAATCTCCGTATCCCAAAATAGGTGCACCCCAAATTTTGTGAAATTAGGACTAGCAATTTACGAGATAGTTGGCCGTTTCCAGATTTTTGGGCCACTCCGTATAAATAGAAGGTTTCATTTCATAAAAAAATGTAGCACCAAAATAAGATTAAACCATTATAGTTACGATTTGTTTGCTTATTGTAATCAAATCTCAACTTTAATGGAACACATAATATCCAAGTCTAAAAAATTATTCAGACATTCAAAAATTGCAGCCATCATTTAGTTTATACCCCAACCACTGTGAAGGAGCTAAAATCAGCTACGAAAATTATACATTAAGTGTACTGTCGATAAACAATATACAAAAGGTCTGTGGCTACACCACTTCTAAAAATATCGTTCCATTTATACAAGTCATATGGATGGAACGATATTTTCAGAAGTGGCGTAGCTCAGTGCTACACTTTCGATGCAAAGGAAAAGACCTACTAAGAAATTGAATACTGTGAAACGGTCTGTAACTTACATAAATATCCACTTATTTGAGGCGGCATCTCGTAGACAATGTAAGAAACCAATTTTAACGTTACTATACAGCTATGTGGTTGCGAAACTACTACTTTAAAGTTTCACCGCTAGATGACGCAATCTGTCACTGGCGCGATTTGAAACGTATCTTACATCTAAATTAATATTGTTTACTGAATTTTCAGAAAATGCACGTCTACAAGAAAACGCTTCAAGCGCTGATCTACCCCATAAGCAGCACCACGCCTCACAATTTCGTGCCATGGACGGCAACTTCACCGACATACTGTTACGAGTGCGAGGGTCTACTATGGGGCATAGCCCGGCAGGGGGTTAGATGTACGGAGTGCGGTGTCAAATGTCACGAAAAGTGCAAGGATTTGCTCAACGCCGATTGTTTGCAAAGTAAGTACAATTTTTAAAAAAAAAAAACAGCATCGTGAATCGGCAGCAACCTCCTCACCTAAACTTATTATATATTAATAAATGGACCAATTGACTTACTTGTAAGAAAGTTCGTTACATATTATATGAACGTCTTTTCCAAATACTTGAAACACCCGGTAGTAGCTTCTTTGCGATATCTACGTGCCACAATTTTAACTAATGAATCACATTTTTTTGTTTGTTTCCTTATCGCCGCCAGCATGCTGCCGTCAGAACACGATTTTGAGTCTTCGACCGCTTTGAGGGTTTTTTTTTGTGGGGGGCGGGCGCGAAGTATTTGGAAAAGACGTTCATATAATATGGAACGAACTTTCTTACAGGTAAGTCGTTTGTTCCATTTATTATATATCGCTGGTCTTTTCCAAATACTTGAAACACCCGGTAGACGTTTAAACATTAAATTCAAAGCGATCTCAGCAACTAGTTTATTAAAATTGAAAAGAAAATAAAGACATACATAGTGATTTAATATAAATATATAACCTTAACGGTATAAATTCATTTTTATATCTGGAGACATCGAATTGATAAATATTTAACGTATAGTTTATTTGGCATTCCTCAACATCACTGCGCTAAGGCGTAAGTAGCCTGATTAAAATTTTTGCAAAATTGGAGAATTTTTCAGTCAATCCCGCTGTTTTCATGATTTGGTAACGCCTACTCCTGCTCTATACGCTCCGGACGTTGACGCGTGTCTTGTACAGTGACTTTTAAAAATATTAATGTTCACGCCACGTTTTTCGAGCACCGATTTTAGCCAGCGACTTAATGTTTGTGTAGTGGTTGTTTTATGAAGTGATTTTACAGTTAAAAATAAAAAATCTACTTGAGATTCCCGATGATGCTCAGTACGTTTAATTGCTGCGTTTGAAAAGTACATCATTTTGTTTGTTTTACTCGACAGCGTTCTTTTTTTTTTTCGTTTGCTCCATTGATATGGTTTGCTCGATGTCACGTGACCAAAAAAATATACTCGCTCTGCTCGAGGAGGTACATTTCAAGCGTAGAATAAGTATTATGTCAAAGTTAAGGCAAAGTACAATTTGGGATTTTCAAAAACTTAATAATTGTTTTCTTTTTGGGTCAGATGTTTTTATAATATTTTTAATTAGGATTTCTAGTCCGCACAAATTATGAATAATTCGACTTTTTTTGTATGTCATCGGCTTCAACTACTGCGGTTATTTCGCCTTGTGTTCTGTGTCAGCTTTGTTACTGTTTCCCAGCGCCACTTTAGGAACAACACTGTTAATTAGAACCCAACAGTGAATGGTCAAGTAGGGAATCCTACCAAGCCATCAGAATGTATTTTAAATAATTAAATTAAATAAAAAATCCCGGCCAACGGTGGGATTCGAACAATAATTTGACTTTTTCTAATTTTAGAAAGTGTTTGAATAAGTTATGCTGTCGTAATTGCCACTATCCCTAACAATTTTTTAGTAAGATTTTCTAATGTTAATTTTTCTAATGGATAAAGTTTTTTTAAGTAATTAAGGATTGCCGGGTCCCAAATCTTCTGATATTTCGGAAAATTAGGCCTGAACTTAAAAATTCCCTTTAAATATATTTTAACCAATTCCTCCTGATCGTAATTTTTTATAATAATTATTAGGTGTAGAGCTGATCTTTGAGCGTTAATAGTGTTATAGGTAGTATTATCCGAGAATACCGATCAAGGAGAAGCGACAGCTTGGTGTTTTCAGTGTACCGTTTTGTAACGCGCATGTGCGAAACTAAGTTTTGTATCACTCAAAATTAGGCTATCTGTCAAAGTCAGTCCAAATTGTGTTTAGTACGTGAGCAATGTTAAGTGATATTTTTTGGTGTTTGTTTTGTGTAGTAATAAGATGAAGATTTTTACACACTTAGGTATTCTAATACAGATATAAAATGTGTCAAAAAAGTTATTAGGAAACTAAGAATTTTATCACATGCATAAATATTAAGTATAATAATTTAATCATTTTTGACATTTAATTTTTCATATGTAGGTATTGTATTTTGTGAAATATATGTTTTTCTTCTTATAAATAAATTTAATAAACAATGCACTGTAGATTTTGTTTATTTTATTTTGAAATTATATTTTAAAAAACATAATAAATTCGCGTGTTTCAATTAGGATTGGTCAAAGTGGGCGAAATCCCTTTATTATGGCTAAATTGTAAGTTACAATTATGTCAATATAAAAATGTTTTGCCCATTCATATTTACATTTATTGAATGAAATATACTGGAGTTGATTTTGGAAATATTGGTGCATACTTAAATAAGTACTATTTCTAAAAATTCGTCTATGCACACATAGTCCAATGGACGTCCACTTTAGATCTATTTGAGGGTCAGGACGTCCATATCCGGGTATCCAGTGTACGTCCGTTTATGCTAATGAAATTGCCAGCTGAATATCGATACCCAGAGAACGTCTCTTTTTGGACTTAATTTTAAGTTTAGTAGTATTTTGACGTCCATCTTAGGTCATTATTTATTAAGCCTACCAGATAATACCCATCTATATATACTTCTTTTTTTTAATATAACTGGTCATTAAAAATTGACAAATTGAATGTATTGCATTTCATTCTATTAGCGGAAGTTTGAAATCTTATTCAATTATAACTGTATCTAGTAAAAAGTTTTCAAGTGGTTCCTTGGTCGAGCTCGTCTAGCGATTGAAAGCGTAAAACGATAATGGATGTGTCGTGAGTTCGATTCCTGCCCAGGTCAACCAATTTTTAATAAAAAATAAATAAATGGTGAATAGCGGTTTGCGAAAATAATAAACAAATTATTAATAATATAAAATAGTGTTTGGTGAGTTGCGGTTCTGTAAAAAAAATGGGGATGTGGTCTCAATGGAAATATAATCCTGGACGTTTTTTGAATGTCCAGTATTCGACGTCCAAATATATTCCAGAATTGGACGTCCTCTGAATGGTCAAAAGTGTGCCATTTGCATACTTCACTGGACGTCCATTGGATGTCGGAAGTCCAGAAAACTAATTTTTGGACGTCTAGACATCCAAAATTGTATATCGAATGGACGTCCAATGGACATATTTGTATTGTCTGGGTGATAGCCAGGCCAGGTATTTAACTCTAAATACATAAACCTTAAATGACATCTCGTTTAACTTGGCGAGAAAACATTTGTTTCTACAGAAATGAGTGATAAACCTAAAAGTCCTTTTAATATAATATAAATCTAGAAATTCTAAAAATATGTAAGTACTTTTTAAACCTAAAAGCTTTGAAAATATATGCACATTGCAAATATTTAGTTAAACCTCTTAAACTTAATGTCTTTTTAATTGTTACCTAATTTTTTTTTTGGCATTCTTAACTTTATTTATCTTATTTTTACTTAAGGAAAAGGTAATTTAATTTAAATATGGGGCTTTTATTACATTTTTAACAATAAACCAAATATTGAACAAATTTTATAGATAAATTATAAAATAATAAACGTCTTTTACTTTTATAACAAATAATTAATTATTACATAATGAATTATATTTTGGTGCCGAAATTTCACCATTGCTATTAACCCAAACTACTTGAATGTAATTAAATCACATTGCAACATTTGTGCATGGACTATAACAATAATTTCAGATAATTTGCCAAACTATTTCGCTCAGTGTAGAAAATAAGCATGTTTTCTCAGCGTGCTAAGTTGTGTATCAATCAAAGTCATGCTTTGAAAAAGGTACAGCCGATATCAAAGGCACCGACAGCTACTGTCGCTTCTCCTTGATCGGTATTCTCGGGTATTATTACTTACATACGAGATGGTTGTTATTTTTTCGATGCGAATTAAAACATTGCTACTGTGTGTATTTTTTGTAAAAAAAATTTAAAGCATAAGGAAGCTTGTAATTCTAATTAATATATATGCTTGTTCATTTCATGAATAGTCCAGAAGCCGCGGCCAATTTTATATCCATGAACTGCCTCAATGTCATAGGTGGGTATTTTAATATTATTGCAACTACTGGGCAGTTTTTCCAGCCACTAGTTTATGTCGACCGACAAAGAGGTAAGGATAGATACATCTGCATTATAACCATTATTTTTATTTAAGGGTAAATATTTCAGTCTCTCGAGTCTTTTCAAATGCTCCCATATTTTACAGCAGGACAAGCCCAGACTAAGTTTCCGATTATTTTGGCTAGATCTCTAATTTTGTATAATTTTTTACCTGAAGCTTAGGCATGTTATTAGATTTCTTTTTTGCGGTTAATGATACTGTCATTTTTTTATATCGTAACAAAAGCACAAAAATGTACAAGAGCGACTGGGATACAGTTGACTTTTTGCCAAATTTACAATAAATTCAAGAGCCTGTAGTATTTTTATTGCATGTGATACATTTCTTGTGCTTATTACTAAAAACTCATCTAGATATATAACAAATATCATTCTTTTAGATCTCAGGTAACTGATAACTGTCTTAAATTATTTTGTAAATACATATAGACCTGTGCAAAGATCAACTGGCAGTGCCTTGTATTCATATAATATAGTTTTGAACTGAAAACCTAAGTATTTTCGGCTACTTTTATGAATCGGGACCATGTAATAAGCATCTGTCAGATCATTACTTACTAAATAAGCTTTTTTTTGTAATAAGATTGTTTTATGATTTTCTAACTTAAAATGAGATGGAAATATATTTTTTAGTATGAATCTGTAATCACCATTTGGTTTTTGCCGTAGAAAATAGGTCGATAAAAACTGACGTCTGCAACTATTACATTCGGATATAAAATTCTTAACAATAAGGTCTTTAACAGCTGTTTCGACTAGTTTGACCTTGTTTGTTTTCCATCAAAAGTATTGGATTGGCTGTTATTGGTGAATTTTGTCCAATTTTTACGACCACTCCATTTTTGTTTACTTTATGTATTTCCTATACCTTCCCGATAGTTGCGTCGAAACTCGTAATTTCG